AATAAAATAAAATAAAATAAAAGGGCGCCTGGAACAGACTAGAGTTGCCAGGAAAAGTCTTGATCCTACTAGAACCTCATTACGTGTTACCAGTGTCACGTGACTTCTGCTGTCGTAACAATATTTTATCCCTGGTCAGGTTCTCTTATATTATTGGGTAAAACTAATATCTAGTCCAGCTTATGCAATAATAATAACTATTAGTTTATTTCTTCTATAGCATTTCCACGGGCTATGTTACTTGTATTTTATAGCCCTGAGTTTAATAAACAACGTTGCGCCAGTAATTTCGAGTCTAACTTACGAATACAAAACTCTACTTGCAAAAGTTACTCGTTACACCTTTTCTGACAGTGAACTCATAAATTCATTGAATACCCATTAACTTTACTCACTGAATACTTGTATTTTGAATAATGTACAGTCGTTTCTAGTAGATATAATAAAAAGCTTCTTGATCTGGGATGTCGCTAGGTGCTTAAAAGATTCGGAGCTCGGACCCATAGCCCGAAAATAATTTGATATTTCAACGTTTTGGAAAACAAATTATAATGACAAGAAGACCTCTCGGACGGCTGAAATACTTCTTTATATAAGGTCAAAAACCTTTCATAATGTTTCCAGGTTGTTCTACTAAATTATAGTCTTTTACTTTGCAAAACAGAAATGCAACTTGATGACCGTGGTCACACAGATTGGAAACTGGCCACTGTCATCAAGTAGGTTATTTCAACATGCGCAAATGTTTTAAATAAAGATTGTGTTCATTTGTTCACTTGTGTTTCATTATCTATCCATGTTTGATTTATTCTTTGCTTAATAGTCTTGAACCAGCATTTTGTGGATTCTTTCAAATATTTCTTTTGGATATTAGTGTACTTGAATACATCGCACTATGACATATAGGCCTAGAAGTATGACTCTTAGTCAAGAATACTCCAATAACTTACAACTTCAAATCAATATAATTTTTAAATGTAAACCTAACTAGTATGCAATGTTCACTCTTTCTTCATATGAAATGCTTTATTTCTGTCGATAGAGTAATAAAATCATTTTGTATAAAAAAACAACAACAACAACACTGTTTGGATCAATTGGATGTGCATGATTGGATGTGCATGTAAATGATTGTTTATAAGCTTTAGTGAATTAATTACACAGCTATTGATTTTTCTAGGAAAAAGTGGAATATCTTTTCCTTGTGATTTTCACCATTGAGAGCGTCATGAAGGTTATAGCCTATGGTTTCTTGTTTCATCCTGGTGCCTACCTTCGTAATGCGTGGAACACTTTGGATTTTGTTATAGTTATTATTGGGTAAGTATAACAATATTATTGCTCAAACTTTTATTGTGTGCTTTATAAGGGTTAAACAGTAGTGTAGTGTTCAACCTAGTATTTTTAAAGATATTTACACTATCAAAGTAGAGTGTACGTTTCTCAATAAAAAATATATTTAGAAAGCAACTGTAAAATTTTATGAGTCGCGATTTGTATTTAGATTTTTAACACATCACTGGTTATTATAATATTAAATATAATTTACCACTAATGCTCTGGGGGGGGGGAATAAAACTTATTGCAATGTATGTTTCTGTCAGCATGTGAACTATGTTTTGTGAATGCTC